CCCTAGGGCAACCGGGCCTTCCCGCCTTAGGGTTACACTACTGCGAGTGACAACCGGGCAAGTACTTTAGTTTTAGTGTGTGCCCGGGGCTTTCCAAAAATCGAACCTTTTCCCCAATAGGTGCTACGAGAAAACGAGCGATTTGATCGATACTCGGCCGGCCCTATCGAGCAATTTGTCAATATGCTTCCGATGGCTTTACGAGGGGTTTTCTCGATACGGCCGTGAGTCTGGGTTGATCTGGTAGTTCTGAACGTACCGTATACACGGCGTAGACGCGCTCATCTGGAATCCGATCGCATGTGCATAGATCTACTAGAAATTAGTGCAGAGCATCTGCATTGCGCTGAGATTCGCGCTAATCGTGGTCTTTGCAAGTGAGCTGAGCAGGAAAGCTCGCCTTTGTCACAGAACTTTAGCCCGATAGAAGGGATTAGAGTTGGAGAATCTGAAAAGGCTGCGACGAACTTTTCTGGAGCAGGTGGTTTGAGCCCCTGCCATTACCTGGATAGCAGGAAAGTGGGGAAGGCAACCCAGCAGATTTGATTTTCGCTGGCTGTTGCAGGGCGTCAAGACACGCGTCTTTTTGAAAGTAGCGTCTACACCATGCCTTACTCTGGGAAAAGCAACCTTGCCCTGGTAAACACTCCCTCTCACACGTGATCTGAGGTGCACTTGTTGAAAGAAGCAATGGATGGTCAGACTGCGAGTCGCATTGAGAATCTTCACTGAACAGGTCTTTCTTTAAGAGAATTCACCGTGAGAAACAAGTTGCGACTTGGACCGTAGAAGTGGCTGAAATTTTTGCGCTCTACTGGATATGCGGACCTGCGTAAGATCTGACTAGGATTTACAATGAATCAAAAGTGCTACACAACGATGTGCGGTGTTCGTCACGAGTTTTGGCAGGAGCGAAGTTTCGGTCTTGCAACAATCGTTGTCTCGAGGTGTTATCAAGCAGACAGACATCAGCGCACAACCTGAATAGTCAATCTTACCAACTGGGTTGAGATATGAGAAGCTGGCTCAACATAGCACCAATCATTCTCGTGAACCACACCATGAAAGAGAGTTTGGAAACACCCTCTCAGCCAGCAAGGAATCTCAATAGAACCAAGCGTACACCCCTGCTAGTTGTGCACCTTGTAGGTTGGAAGTGTACCCGCACCTTCGGAATTCTGGTTGATACAAGCAACATCCTTTCGAAAGTTTCTCCAAGTATATCAGTGACAGTAACAAGAAGTGATGTTGGCACTTAGTGCATCGAACCTTTGTTTGTAGTGTGTCCTGTCTTTGTTGGTCCTTTCATTACTTCTGGCGGCTAATAGGTCAGGCTGAGGGGCTTGGAGGATTGTCCAGCTTTTTCCTTCATGGTCCTCTGAAACACAAAAACCCGTTTTCACAGGTTCTTCGGGTATCAGCCGTGGCTCTTGGTGTCGCGTATGGGGCAACAAAATATGGTTATCTGAAGGTAAGCGCACATAAGCGTTGCACGTGTAAGATGTTGCTCTGCACAAAAAACGTCCCAACTGGTTATGCTTTGGCATTTGCAGTGGCATTGCTCGTTGTTGGAGGTTCGAAAGGTTCATGCAACCATGCTCAAGTGGCAACGTGGTTCTATGTTGCGGTACGCCAGACCTTGGTGTATAGGTTTCTAATGCGTTTATTTGGATGCCTGAAAAGTTTGTTGAAGGCTTTTTGGCCCTTTCATCAATCTTTTGGAATATGCTCCCCTTGACAGATGATTTAAACAGAAAACATCAGATTCACAGCATTCTTAATGCACTTCTCTGGTGATGGTAGATGGTCCGATCAAAGGCTAAACCATGTACATGGATCACTCCAAATTTGTTGACACTTGTACATCTACAACCTGCCGTGTTGTCTTTCTGGCAGGCTACACAAAAGGCGGCAACAATCACAAACTCCGATAAACATGCTCCAGCTCCTTCAAGTCACTAACACCTAAAAGGTCACGTTTAGTCGGGTTTCTTTCTATCTGGCATAGTGAAGCACAAACAATGAACCATGATGCGAAAATAAATTAAAGTCGCCAGCGAAGCATGAGTGCGCGCATGAACCATGCAAGTGGTGCATGTGCCACTGGGATATCGATGAGGCATATTTGCGGCTTTGCACCAGGAAGAACGGCCATGCTTACATGCATCATGATATAGTATGTTGGCATCTCGATGATTGCAAGCTAGCCCAAGATTAACACCATGCGGTTCAATTTGATCATACTCGCCAGAGATTTGTAGTGATTGGCTCTCCACAACCACATGCAAATCTGCACTTCTCAACGCTTTTCGACGGCTAGCTTATAACCCTCCACGATTGTCCCCCAGTCGCTATTGTCAACACACTTCTAGATTGTCAAACACTGTACTTGCTTACCCAAAGTATGACATAGATTCACTCAGGCTCAAATTAACGTGGCTCAGGGCACGGTCAATAAACCGTAAGTTACCATTCACTACCGCCTGCAACCATCAAAGACTTGGCTTGTAAGCCGTTATAATCAGGTTTAGACGTGACATATCTATAGTCTGGAGGTCCGGTGGGCGAATCCATGATCTTTCTCTGAAACATTTATTCTCAAACTTATATGAAGGTACTTATGGAAGACTCACGGTGCGTTAAGGAGAAAGCGTCACCTTCCGTCCTTAGGAGATGCCGGCACAAGCTATAACCAATTATAGAGACTTTGGAAAGCTCCTTTGGTGGTTCAAATTGTATTCTAAAGTATCCAGCCTCTGAGCAGCTAGAGGAAATCTGGAGGATCCACTGAGCCCAACTTTCGGAAGAAACAACATCTACAATGTTGAATTTTCCATTCAGGTGGGTCGCCGAATCTGGATTTGCCCGAGGGATCAGCAAAAGTCATAGCGGAGTCGTTCAATGAATATTTGTGATATTTTGACCGCGATCGATCACGCTGCAATGTCCGAGAAAGAAGGGCCTAATGCCAAAAGATAAACCATGAGTCCATGAGTCGACTGCAAGTCACAGCTTGATGGGGACAGAGCTGCTTGCATGCTCGCGGAAGCCATGGCACCTGAGGCTGTGGCACCACAGCGCAGCTCACAGCTTTCTTTGCTTGCAAGTTTCATGCTCTTGTCTCACATTCAGGTAGATCGCCGCGATTCTGGACTGCCTGTGGCACGCAAACTATCATTTCCCGGCCGTTCATTGGCGTGGTCACCACTTTTAAGCCATTCCGGATCGTCGATGACTCAAAACCCGGTAAAAGCGGAGCAGAAACTTGTCCAAAGTAAAAACGGGCTAAACTGTGCAGGCTGGAGGCACTCAGTGAAATTCAGCCAATGGGAAATGAAGAGTGACCTAGTGCGGCGATCTACCTGATTGGACTCATGTAAAAAATGATCGATATGCTTTTTTGAGTGGGTCCAAGCCTGCAATTGATTTTCTGCAAGTCTGCACCGGGCAGAAATCAGTGCTTTTCGCTCCACAGACAGCGGGCAGACAGCAAACGATACGCTTCGCAGCCTCGGCACAAGGGGGCGGCATGCAAATGAGCATCTCTGGAGCTGTAGAGCTGGAGAAACTTTCTACAGCTTGCAGATTGATTGCACTACGGATTGCAAAGCTTACTTTGTGTCTTCATGTCTTTCCTGAGCATTCTGAGGAGCGTCGTTGCTGACAGCACCCTAGGTCAAAAAGAGGCTCGTTGCCTGGCAGCCCATTTTTTCAACATGACGTTCCTTTCTTTTACTTAGAATGTCTGCACCGTCCGATGACCGGATCGCGACTTTTCCGACTTTGGAAACCCAAAAATATCGGAGCCAATGCGCTTCAGAACGGTCAAGATCCAGATTCGGCTACCCCGGGGGCCGGGCCCGCCTGTTTGCCAGCCATATTTGGTGACTGGTCGCGTTTGAATATCTAGATATACGGTATGCATCGTGTACTGGTTACCAGGTCCATGGCTTCAATCGGCCTTATAAAAGAAGTATACATACATCTGAATCCTGATACGGTACACCGTATGCCTCCGGATCCCACCAGATTCTGCAGAACGGAGTCATGACTCATGAGTCGGATTGACTCTTGGGAAGACTTGGACCGTTGGAACTTGTAAGTTGTGCTTCAAGTTTCAACGTGGACGGTGCACACTGCAAGTTGGATGTGTGCAGCCAGTCCCCGGCCCCCGGGACCCGCCCGGTGACCTACCGTAATCCTATGAAGGCCTTCCGATCAACATGCCTAGGTACTACGGTACCGGTACCTAATAAACCTACCTACCTACCTTACTAGAGGCTAGAGCTTCCCGGTAGCTACCGGGACCAAACTACAGTCCACGGTACTTCTCAAAGAGTACCTACCTACCGTGGTTCTCGAATCGATTATCGGATCGAGTTGATTTGATTGTGCTGGTTTCAGTTCCGTCACGGTAGGTACCTGGATGTCTCTGAAACTTAAAGTTGAGGCCGGCCGCCGGATATAAATAAAGTTTAATACCTATAAGGCAATGTGACGTATAAGGTACTGTATTGCGTAAGAGGACTGTACGTTTAATGATTGCGCGGTCGTACCCCGCGCTGCGCGGTGCGTACCCGAGAAGCAGCCGGGCCTACCCTGGGACATTAGGGTCTCGCAAGCAACCGGGTGACAAGCAGGCCCTCCCTCTGACATTAGGGTCTCGCAAGCAGCCGGGTGACAACCGGGCACTTCCCAGTAACATTAGGGTCTGTCGGTCACATTACCCTAGGTTTTTAGTGTTGCCCGGGGCCTCACATGTACAATATTCCTCTACGGTTGAACAAATTCCTTATAGGGAACGTACCTTATAGGTATTAAACTTTATGGTTATCCCGCCGGTGGTAGGCTGAGCCCCCCCGGATATAGCGCTCGAATAGTAAAAACCTAACCCTCAAAATTACCTGATCCGCACCAGTACTTTAATGATATATTAGGGTACCGTCACTTGAAGTGGCAGGTATTCTGATGGGGGGGGGGGCTGAGGCTTGTAATCCTGGATCGAGGTGGGGGGGGGAGGGGCGCTTGAAGGCCTTGGGCCGGGGCGCAGCCCCGGCTGTTTTGAACAGCTAAATCAGGGCAAAACCCCCCTGATATTGACCCGGTTTGCCGCTTTTGAGGCCTTGGGCTTGAGGCACATTTCGACTGGTTGAGCCCCCCCGGGGGGGGGGCTTGTGGCCCTCAAGGAAAGTGGCCTGTAGAATCCCTACCCCGGTGCCATTGCAAAATAACGGTACCCTAATAATAAATATTAAATTAATAAATTAACCAAAAAACCCCCAAATTATATAGAAACTTAAACCTGACCTCAGCTGGTTAATATTAACTAGCGGTACCCAAAGCGTACTAGGTACGTAGGTACCGGTACTACGGTAGGCAGAGCTGTACCAGTTCTACCTACCATGACATGAATTTCGATGGCCGGTACCAGCAATGTTGTCAATTGGGCCGGACCAGCAGTAGGTACGCACCGTATCAGGCAGGCACAGAAGGCTCAAAAACTGTACCTGGGGTTCTGCCCAGTGCCACTGCCATGTGGTGATCCCTTTTCGTCGCTTTCTCTTCAGTTGCCCAAAACGCTTTCCCCAGCTTTTCCGCGCTTTCCTCTACGGTGTTGTCATTATCCAACCTGGGTGACTTCAATATCGCAGATCGACGGCTACGCGGGATGCTCCATCGCTCAAAAAGGGTTCCGATTCGTTCGAGCAGCAGCGAGGTGGATTTCGAGTCATCTTTGGACTCGTACCTCGCAGAGGATTCCATGAGAGCGCGGCGAGCCTACCGACTACACCGTGCAGCACTGGTAGTGCAGAGCCGCAAGCGCGCTGCACGTTTTCTAGGCTCCTCCTACTGGGTAGGTACCTAGCTGCGAAACTGCTGGGCCTGCTGTGCCAGCGGTGGACGCCATGGAAATTTGATTACCGTACTGTATTATTGCCCGAGGTTGATTGATCGTGGCGCCAAGACCAGGCAGGCAAGATCAGCACGAATTGCTGGGAGGAGGAGCTTGTGCTTTGCTCTATCTTGGTCCAGGAATTTCCTTTTCACGATGCAGTCTCCGGTAACGGGCCCGGGACCACCGGTGGTTGTTGCGCAATTGCCAGTTACGGAGAGTGAGGCTGTGCAACAAACGGCGATTCTTGCAGGCGCCAAAGTGTTGTCAGGAAGCCTGCCAGGGCTGGTGTCTCAGGTGGCGCGCACAAGTAGTGGGTCTCATTCAGCCCAAGTGGTCCCCACCGGGAAGGAGGACGGTATCCTGAGCCCTGTGTCCCTCAGTTTTGAGGGGGACCTGCCGATCATCCCCAAGCTCGCCCTGCCGCGCCTGGCTAAGCCCGCCTCCCTCATGAGGACAGCCTCTGCGGACCAGGAGAAGCACAAGGCGGCCAGGAGGGCCCCTCATGTTCGGATTGCCCCCCACCCCGCAGGGCTGGCAAAGCTGCTAGGGATGGACAAGCTGCCGGAGGTGGAGGAGGGCGCTCGGGAGACAGAGGAGTCGGGCACGGCGGATGGGACGGTCCCCATTATGAAGCTGTGCCAAGTGTGCAATGCCTCCCCCGCTGTGGTGTACTGCGCTGCGGATGCAGCTTGCCTGTGTCAACCCTGCGATGTAGAGATTCATTCCGCCAATGCTTTGAGCAGCCGGCATGAGCGGGTGTCGTTGTTGGGGGTGAAGGATGCCGTGCTGTGCGAGGCGCAAGCGGAAACCGGCTGCGTGAGTGCGGAGCACACAGTGACGCTGTCCAGCAGCTCCAAGAGCAGCCGAGCCAAGAGGGCCAGGACGCAGGGGGCCACTAGCTCGGGCGGCTCTGGGGAGGACCTGGGCATGAGCCCCTCTTCACTGGATGCGCAGGAGGTTCCCAGCAGGTGCGGCACAACGAGGCTGGCGGACTCTTGCAGAGGGCTGGGTTGTGTAGGCTTTGCAGCACCGGTGGTTATCTGATGCAAGAAGCGGGAAATGCTGCGCCTGATGATCAAACCTTGCCACTAATAGAGAGCCGTTGGTAGGGTTAAGTTGAATCTCTTGCTGGTGTTTGCAATCTGGGACCTCATTGCATTGCAGTCTGCATTGCAGTCATTTCTTGGCTACATTGCTCATGACGTCAATCATGGCCTTGTTCTTGCAGCCTGGATTCTTGAATGTTGTTTCTTCTGCTGATTCCCTCCATCTTCACAGGTGGCCTGGGGAGGAGTACTCGTCCTACGGCGGCCTCACTGAGAATGACTTGATTGCCATGGAGATGCCGGACCGCGGCGCGCAGGACAGCATCCTGGAGTCGCTCGGGGATGAGATGTGTGAGATGGAGGAGAGCATGGAGGGCATTATGTACGGCATTGACGGCATCACGGCCATCCCGCAGCTCGACCTGGGCAGCTTGGGCCGCTCCAGCGGGGAACTCCGCAATGGGAGTGAGCATGCGGACGCAGGCGCAGGGTCCGATAGCAGCAGCATGGGCGCGGGGTCCATGTCGCACTATGATCAGTATGGGCCGGAAGTCAAGTACGAGTACGGGCTGGAGGGCCTGCAGGAGATGCGGCACAGGGGGGCGGAAGCGGAGCAGCAGGCGAGCTACGAGAGCAGTTATCGGCTGGACGACCAGGCGGCCTTCCAGCTGGGGCTGCGCCTGGGGGAGAGCAACGCAGGGCTGGACCTGGCCGCGGGGAAGGGCCCCAAGATGGGCCTCAGCCTGGACTTTAGCGACATCCTGAGCGCCTGGTCCGACAAGGACGTCTGGGCCGACGGCCGCTACGCGCAGCTTGTCCCCGATACGGGGAGCCCCCTCGACTGCCTGGTGAGCTGACGGCGAAGCACGGCCGCTGCCTGCGCAACAGCGTGACTCTTGCTTTGGTGCTGACCAGAGTCATCCACAGCATTGCTTTCCACCCTAGCAACAAGCGCCAGTGCCGCCTGCCCCTCACGGATCATGTCAACCTGCGGCACTGAGCATCTGGCATTCTGCATAATGTGAAGTCTACGTATTTTCAGGGTCATCTAACCATCTGCCAGTCGTTGTTGTTTGTTGCATTGCTTGGTCTGCCTTTGGCATCCTTTGCGTTTTGAGCTGATGTAGCGGGCATGCTCAGGTGTGGGCATGCGATCGGGACACGAAGCGATGGCTCTCTTTTAAGTTACATTGTATGGGTGGTTGACCTGACTGCTGGTCTCAGTCCCTAGACATCATTGGTGACTGTCTACATGTGCGGGCTGACTGCGATCGCTACTTTCTGAAGAGGCACGCCTGTTCAGAGTCTGTGCCATGACCTCTGCCTTGCAGCAGCTGGGTTGGAATGGTTTTCCATAATCAGGAGCTAGGCCCTTAGCGCATTGAGGATGGCAAACCTGCATAAGCAAGGTTGTCTGAGATGAATCTTTTTTGATCCGATTGCGTCTCCCTGCCGCAGGCCCCTGCTGCATATGACCATGGCGTGGTCCCGGATTTGGGCAGCCAGCGCAAGCGCGAGGGGGGCACGTATGCTGGCGCGACTACAGGCGATGAGGGGCCCGTTCTGAATAGGAAGGAGCGTGTTGAGCGGTACAAAGAAAAGCGCAGAACCCGCGAGTTCTGCAAAAAGATCCGATACGAGGTCCGGAAGGCGAATGCAGAGCGACGGCCGCGCATCAAGGTGAGAGCATTTCCCTTGAAAACCTGTGGTACTGTGTAACATCATTCACCCTTAGCAGCGTCGAGAAATGGCCCTCATCCAGGAAAGTGTGCAGCAGCAGAGCCCGGAGCGCTCCCTGCATTCACATGTTGGTACTTTAGTTCCTCCTTTGCTTTACTGACTTGCGTGCAGCATGAGTCTCTTCGCTGACATAAGTCCCCTTTGACTTGCAGGGCCGTTTTGTGAAGCGGTCGGAGTGCATTGCCATGGGACTGTCCATGTTCTAGGGCCAGCGCCATCATTCCCACACTGTGTACACTAGGCCCTGGTAGCGCGTTTGTAGGGGGCTACTCATTCATTCTTCCGCATGTTGAAGGGAGGGAAGGTATTTTTTTCGAGCAACTGCTTAGAAATACAGCGCAGTGCTGCTCCACCTAAGGGTTGTTTCTTGTGTCTGGTTGGGACGAGGTCAAAGGTTTGTTTGAGTAGGGGTTCGCTGTTCACCAGTTGCACATGCATTCGTCTGTACATGAGCTCCAAGTTGGTCAGCGTGCACATTCGCACAAGTAGAAGCATCCTTAAAAACATTTGACAAGTTAGGCGGCTGAATACAGGCCTAGACGCTGTTGTGTTCGTTGAGGAAAGATACTGATTGCGATGAAAAATGGAGAGCAAGTTTTGCTAGAGTAGAGGAAGTATGTTGCTCCACCCAGAGCATGTTGCTCAATCAGTGGAACTCGTGCTTGAGAACATTGGTCCAGGGGCTAGAAACATGAAAATTGACGTTTTAGAACGATCTGGAAGACCTTCTATTGTAAGGGGTTGCTGCATGCCTGTGCTCTGATGGACTTAAGAGAATCCGAACTGCAAGTACAATTACCCTCACATTCAGCTCAAGTATATTGCTCCATGAACCAGCTTTCTGTCATGCGGCCTCAACCCATGCCCATCATGATATGTATACCTACATTTGGATTCATAACACATACTGTATGATATGCACAACGATCATGACGGGTCTGACTCTTTGCAGTGCATGTCCGTATATTGCATGCCAGACATGTCATATAGTCTTGAATGCAGAGTGAGCATTTAATTATGCAAAGGCATACTTGTATACTAGCATGTACGAGCATGATCCGCGCGCTCTGGCTGGCTTTCAATTTGCTGCTGGATGCCCTAGGCGCCCAGCCCCAATGATGTGCCGACGCGCATGCTACCTGGCTATACTAGGTCGCAGTAAGGATCTTTGCAATTGCGCATGTAGTATTAATGTGAGCCATGCCTGAGATTCATGTCATGATGGTTACAATGTACTGATGACCTAGACCACACCCTTCGGAAATTCAGGGCGAATTTACCTGTTATTGCGAGCAACAACATGCGCAACTCATCACATACTCCTACCTAACGCTGGCAGAGCACGTAACACAGTTTCTAAGCCTTTCCTAACCCATTCCTGCAAGACCTCATCCTCCAAGACACGCTACTTTACATGCATCGCTATGTATGGTGAGAAAATTGGACCAGGCGTTTGGGTACACAAAGGAAGCTGTAGTGAAAGTGACGACCCCGGAGTCACATGCAACACGAGCCGTCCTATGGCGCGTTGTTTCCAGGTCCCTGCTCTCGGCCCTCTCGAGAGTCGGACGGCCGATATTGCCGCTGTTGTTGTTGCTGCTGCTGTTGCTGCTGCTGCAGTGCTTGTTGCAAGGCGAAGGTTTGAATCATGAGCGCCATCTGCGCTTGAGCGGCCGGATGCTGTGGCATCGCCCCCGGCCACCCTGCCATTCCCACGTTGGGGAAGAACATATCGGGGCGCACTGCCGCATGATGCCCCTCGGGCACGGGCCCCTGCTGCATCCACGGAGGCAAGCTCCCCGGCCCCACGTTCCGCGGCATGTCTCGTGCACCGCCCCCATCCTGGGCGGGACCCCCCGCCTCCCGCGCAGCCGCCATGGCCTCGTATGCTGTGCGCATGTTGTCCATGCTAATCCCGCCAGGGCCGTCTGAAAGAGCCAGCCCTCCGCCCCCGCCCCCCATTTCTCTTCCCCCGCCCCTGTTGCCCGGTGCTGTGCCCTCGAGCGGACGCCGCTCCCCCCCTTGTCCGGCCCTGTCCCTTAACATCCCGCTCGCTTCGCTCTTCGAGCGCGTCCCGCCGTCGCTTGCCATTCTCATGCCCTCGTGCCCCTTCTTGTCGCCGCTTGCCTCCGCACCATGCCGCCCCCCATCGCGGTCCCTGTCGGGCAGTGCTGCGCGCGGGTCCAGTGCTAGCAGGCGCGCCATGGCCTCCTGCAGGCTGCTGCCGCTCATCGGCGAGGCCGCCCCCTCGACCCCTCGGGAGCTGCGCCCCTCGTTTGCCTCCTCCCGTGCGCGCGGTCCCCCTCCCTGCTCGTGCTCCGTCGGGCGCTGCTCGACCATCCAGTGCGGCAGCGCGGACGGGCCGCCCTCGGGCCGCCCCCACCCGGTCCCCCCGCCCGAGGCGCTCGCTGCCCAAAAAGGCGGCTCCGTACGGCCGTCCTCCTTCCTCTCGTCCGACCCCCTGCGGTCCAGCCCGTCTCGAGCGCTGTGCAGGGAGTGCGGCGGGGGGGGCCGCTCCAGAGAAAGGCCCTCCGGGCCCCGGAAGCCCTCGGAGGAGCGGGGCACGGGGGCGTGCACGGCGGGGCGGAGGGGCTGCTGGGGAGGGGACGACTGTGGGCCCACCGACTGGCCAAACAGCTTGATGCTGCCCGAACTGGCCCGCAGCGAGGAAGCGGGCGGCGGGGCAGCCGTGGGACGGGGCTGCAAGGGAAAAGAAGGGGCGAGTGAGAGCAGGAAGAATTCGATGGGCCCCCGGACTGAGTAAGGTGGCAACCCAATTGGTCTGTCAAGGACTCCCGTGCAACCGGTTTGCCAGACAGCTTGCCTGTACTTGGCAGGCAGGGCGTGCAACAACAACTTGCCCCGTAATGTGCAGCGATGCAAGGACGCTCGGGACTTAGCAATATGCCAGAAAGTTCGACACCATGAGCTCTAGGAGGAAATTCCGTGCCAGCACAAACCGGTCCCCCAACCGAACCATCGCCCGGACGGAATCCGCTGTTGGGAGAGCAGTGGCGTCGTGCGTCACCTGCTCTTGCTCGTGCAGCTCGTGCTGCTGGCTGGATCGCATGGTCTGCAGGGGCGGCGGCGAGAGGGACCGCATGTCGTCCAGGGGGGTGGACCGCCCCTTGCTGCTCGGGCCCCGGCCCTCGCCCACGTCCGACGAGTTGGGCCGCTCGCGCAGGCCTGCACGACGAGCGAAGAAATGGTTTCAAACGTGTGCAGAAATGCAGCAAGTACGATGCATCCCGCTTCAAATTCTGTGCTCCAATCAGGTCACCTTGGCCTCTTTAGAGGCCCAACTCTTAAAACTTAGCAGTCCCTGACAGTGCGCACCGCGGCGTGTCGCGTGTGTGTATCCCCCACCTGCGTCGCGCTGCCCCTGCCCGCCTGGCGCGGCCTGCCCCGCGGCGCTGCGCAGCGCTGCTGCCATGTAGTCGTCGGGCAGGCGCTGGCCCATCTGCTGCTGCACCTCCAGGCTGTGCTGCAGCTCCTGCTCCGACGGCCGCCGTGGGGGGCCGCCGAACGGGCCCAGCCGAGGAGGGGCACCGCCGGCAGCAGCTGCAGCAGCGGCAGCGACAGCCTGCACAGGCGAGCACCACGTGAGTGACACGTGTCCTCTGCCAGGCGAAGCTTTGTGCAAGTAGGTCGAGACGAATTCGGAGCACTCTACTGAGGATATGCAGATTTGTGGTCGGTGTGAATCACATAGTACCTCCAGCACTGCTGGTCGTTCTGCAGATACTGCGGGTCAGATCCGGGTTCGAGCATTTCCTTTCACGAGCACACCTGAGCACGTCTGCCTTTCGGGCTTGACATGTTTCGCTCCCCGTAGCTCAGACTTCGGGCTGTACTCACCATCTGCGGGGGTATGCCGGCCTGGCCGAGCCCCCCCATGAGCATGGGCATCAACCCCGGGAAGAGGAAGGGCGGGAACATCCCCGGAGGGAACGCGGCCGGGCCCCCCATGCCGTTGGCCTGCATGAGCAGGGCCAGCTGGCGGTGCTGCTCGCTCACGTCCACTGGAAGCCGAGCGCTTGGCTGCATGAACGGGTTGGCCAGCCCCGCCGGCTTGCCTCCCATACTACCGCCACCGCCCCCGCCGCTGCCGCCGCCAGGCCCCGCTCCCTGCAGCAGCGCTGCAAAGCCGGAGCTGCCGCCGGCAGAGCGGGCCGGCTGCTCCTCCCCTCGGATGGCGCCCTTCCCCAGGAAGCTGGGAGTCGCTGCAAACGACGGGGCAGCCTCCTGCCGAGGTGGTCCCGCGTTGATCCCCCCCATCTCGGGCTGCTCGTCTTCGAGCTTGCGCTTCTTCTGGGGGGGGAGACGACTTCCAGGGGCGGGGTGGGCTTGGCTTGGGGCTGGGGGCGGCGTCATGGGGCGCACCCGCCCTGGCAGCGGGATGGTGAGAGACGCAGAGCCGGCCAACCCGGGCTGGGCGACCTCCCGAGAGGACGGCGGCTCGCTGTGCTTGGAAGTGTCGAATGTGGCTGCAAGTGCAAAGGGAGGAGAGAAAACTGGTCAGCAGGCAGCACTGCAATGAGGAGTGCCGGCCGAGGTCAAGTGCAAAACTACCTTTCTGAAGGAAGAGTGTATGCAGAGAACCACCACAAGACTGACCTCCTTTCAAACTTGCCCGCGATTTGATGCAAACCATTCGAAAGCAAAAGCTTGCGGAGTTCGTTGTAAGAGGGACGAGAACGCACAGCTGACGGGCATGCACAGGGGCTGGAAGGACCCCTCGTTGCATTGCTCAGCAAGAATTTGTTTGAGGCAGGCGGCCTGACCTGCGAGCAGCTTGGCGGCGCGCTCGCTCTCGAGGTGCGCCTGCAGCTTTTGCAGCTGCTGCACCTGGTCCGGGCTGAACACCTCGCGCAGGCCCTCCGGGAGGGGCGGTGTCGCGGCGAGCGCGCGGGCAGGCGGCGCAGCTGGAGCAAACGAGGCGCGGAGTCAACAGGCAAGCGACCAATCTTAGCTCATCTGCTGGATCTGACAACGGGATTTGCCAACAACTGCTGCCAACTGCAAGATTCGGCTTCAGATATGAAGCAAGATCGTGAGAAGAAGGAAAGGAATTTGAGCAAAGCTAGAGGCTTTCGCTTGGACTCTGCAAGCAACGAAACTTGCTGAGCACGCGACAGGCTCTTTGCAACTGTGTGGAAACCAGGAGGGATAGAAGAATTCCTTACGTGTGGGGGTGCTCTCCCTCTCCC